GGAATAAGGATAATCTACCCGATCGAAATTAACTTGGCTCGGTGCTCGCGCGCGAATATATTACCGGTTTAAGCGGATCGATTAAAAGAGAAAAAGGAAGGAAATAAGAGGATTGCGATACACTCGAAAAATTGTTGAATCGCGGTGTCGCCAAGTATTTAACGATCGAACGAGCTCGTGTACACAAAGGATCGCAGCGAGGCGAGGAAGGATAATCGATCGCTCTTTTCCTCTTCCTCTTACTACTCTTCTCCAACTAGAGCTGAATCGGAGAGAATTTCTGGTGTGAATGACTTTCGAGATAAAGGACGCTCGATGCAAACGTGGACGTACAAGGGCCCCGCTTAAATGCATCCGAGCCTGTTTATAAATCTGCCGACACTCTCGAGCTTTCCTCGTCTCTTCGTAATAGCCTCTCTCGAGATAAAGCTCTCTAAACAGAAAGGGAGAGGAAAATAATCGTAACGTCGAGCTTCCACGTCTCTCCCCCTCGGTCAGTCCCTTGGACCATTATCGGTAAACACGCCATTAACGCCCCTGTCGTAGCCTCTGCCCCGGAGAAACCCAATCTGGACTCGTGAAACTGCGCGGCGAGTGTAATAACGCGCGAAACGCGCTATCCATCAGCCGGGACAAAACAGTTAAGCGGCTGTAGGATCTCGCTCTCTCCGACGGCGCGTAACGAACGAAATGTCGGCGAAAAAGGCGCGCTTCGAAACCTTCTTCCGTTGCTCGTGGAACCGTTGCTCTACTCGCGCCAAGTGCAAGCGTTCTTCTGGATCCATCTGGGATGGAATCTCGATCGTTTACCTCGGCTCTTACCTTTTCTTCTTTTCGAGACGCGTGGGCGATCGTTGTTTCGGGACCGATCAGATCATTTTCGGATACGCTCGCGCGGAGGATGTAAGAAAGGTTGGAGGTATTCAAAGAATTCGTTACGAAACGAAACGAAACGGAGAAGAAGGAGAATCGTAATCGTTGGACGCATCTGCGCCGCAATTAAGCGCGGTCACCTTTCGAGGTGGCGCGTCGTGTGCGAGATTCTTCTCGACGTTAAACACCGCGCCGCGCGAGAGAGAGAGAGAGAGAGAGGATATCGTGGAGCGAGGAGATAGTCACCTGCTGATTTCGTGTCATCCGGTCTAATTCTAGTTAAGACGGCGCAGTTCACGGGTTATCGCGAGCGTTGGATCGCTCGAATTAAAGAATCTCGCATGTGGTCTCGGTCCGTAATAGCCGTAAAGGTGGCGGCTAATTAAATTCCTTTGGGGACAGAATGGATTGGGTTCAACAACGATATATATATATTTCTTTCTTCACGAACGAGCCGCGTTTACGGGTTAATTGACCCCGAATACGAATCTATCCAAGGTGTCGTACGGAAGAGGGCTTTAATTTCTTCTCCAGGAATCCTTTCCAAGTAGCAGCTCGAGATGATTTGGAAAGCTAATCGGGATAATGCGCTCTTATTATTCGAGGAGGGGAACGAAATCTAAGGTAATCCATTCGAGTTGCTTGCACGAAACAGTGTATATTAATTGGAGAAAATTTTCAAATTGTTTCGATGTAACGTACAACAAGCATAAAATACGTTAAAATACGTTAAAATTTATCAAGAAGCGTTTAAATTTCATTTTTTAAAAGTCGCCATAAATTATCGCTAAATTTTAATAATGAGTTGTCAATGATTTTTTATAAGTTCCACGCGATAAGAATAGAAAAGTAGTACGAAAAGTAGGAACTTTCTACTTTTTTTATTGCCATATTTGATTCGCAAAACTGTGCGAAACTGTACTAAAATTAATCTCAACGTTTACGGCCGCTCGTCACTTAACAGTGGCGACTTGAGACTCGCCTCTCCAGCTTAATTTATATAACTCGAGTTTTTTTTGATTCGAGGGAATATCAAGTTGGAGGAAGAATAAACCCCTCCCGCTTCGAACATCCTCGTCAAGGCAATTTCCTTCCTCGAGCGCTCGCTAAATTGTCCCGAACCGTCTTTCGCACGCCGACAATTTAGTCCAATACGCGTATATTCGTAGAATATAACGGGCGAGGGATGCGCGTCCGTTTACGCGCGACATAAATCCAGCTTAATGATATCGCGAGTAATGTCAGAGTGACGGTATCTCGGCAAACGGGTACACGTAGTAAGAACAAGGCTGACACCTCGATCCACCGTTCCGCGCGGCGAAAGATCGTATCGCCGAGATTTTCTGCTGCGACCCTACCCAACATTCGTTTAGAAGAGAGAGAGAGAGAGAGAGCTCGCGATGACCCGAGACCACGAAATTTTCGACCTTTTTTCACTCGTTGCCAGATTACTCGGATTCAGCAACGCGATTCGCCTTCAGATAGCTTCGCGAGACTCGACGCTGCCCATTCGCGTCACCCGCGCTTCATCCAACTATTTTCTTTCTTTTCTTTCTTCTTCTTTTCTTGTTCACACCGATCTTCTTGCTCGAGGATAGCATTTCTTTCGCGAAACTCTTTCTCGGCGAACGAGAGTTCTCCCGAATCCCTTTCAAATTTAATCGAACGTATTTTTATATACAATCGTTTGAAAAAGAAGACAAGTAATCGGCTTGGACGAATATTCTCTCGAGAGAAAGAATTGGTTGGGTGCGCGCGCGAAAATGCCGCGTCGGTGGCAGGTGTAACGTGGAAGGAAGAGGGAAAAAAAGAAAAAAGGAAAAAGCGAAACTGGAGGCTGGCCACGCCGCTTCCCGGAGA